CACTCACAGGATGGGTATGGGTACACTATCACTCACAGGATGGGTATGGGTACACTATCACTCACAGGATGGGTATGGGTACACTATCACTCACAGGATGGGTATGGCACTGAACTACAGGCCAGTTTCCCTAACTTGTATACCATGAAAGGTGATGGAGAAGATCGTGAGGAAAAGGCTCGTAGAGCATCTGAAGGGAAACAGCTTTGTAACGCACCACCAACATGGGTTCAGGGATGGTAAAACGTGCGTTACAGGCTTAATAGAATTCTATGACCAAGCAACACAAATTAAGCAAGAAAGAGAAGGGTGGGCAGACTGCATTTTCTTGGACTGTCAGAAAGCCTTTGACACAGTACCCCATAAAAGCCTGTTACAAAAGTTGGAGCAACAGGCGGGAGTGAAAGGAGAGCTGCTCCAGTGGATAAGGGAGTATCTAAGCAATAGGAAACAGCGAGTAACTGTGAGGAGGGACATCAGGGTGGTGAGATGTCACCAGCGGAGTCTCACAGGGCTCAGTACGTGGACCCATCCTGTTTCTAATGTAACGTACGTTTATGTTACGTTGTTGGGTTGATTAGATACACAGTGTTTAGTGAGTTTCATATTTATTTAGTAGTCCTGGATACAGCAGTGTCGTAGACGTTGAGACGAAGCCTGGAGCAGAGCAGAGAGCTGAGTGTGGCCGGAGTCGCGGAGCTCTATGTGGGAGAGCGTGGCGGCTCAATTGGGAATTGCGAGTGTCTGAACTCGGGGAGCGAGAGCGTTGTAGCTGGATGCGGTCGTAGTCTGCTGTCTGCTCTGTGTCGAAGCTGTAGCGTCTTAGGTCGATTAGAACTGCCCACGCCGAGTACTACATTCTTGACTGGAGATTGTACTGTCCGCTATTGATTAATTGATGAAGATTAAGCCACCCAAAAGGTGGCACGGGCATGAATAGCCCGTAAGTGGTGGCCCTTTTGAGCCATTACCAGTATCAAGAGCTGATACTGGAGATCTGTGGAGGTGCGACTGCACCCTGCGTGACGGGAGATGTCTCCCGAGTGAATGTGTTAAGATGAAGATTAAGCCACCCAAAAGGTGGCACGGGCATGAATAGCCCGTAAGTGGTGGCCCTTTTGAGCCATCACCAGTATCAATAGATGATACTGGAGATCTGTGGAGGTGCGACTGCACCCTGCGTGACGGGAGATGTCTCCCGTGTGTCCGCTATTCATCAAATCGCTCGTTTATATGGTGACTACACCTCAGCTCCCTCCAACAAGATGAGAAGAGTATTACCTGTAATTGGGGAAAGGATTGTAGCTTGGGACCAAAGAGCCAGAGCTCAACCCCCGCAAGCACGACTAGGCGAGCACAACTAGATGAAGATGAGTATGGGTACACTATCACTCACAGGCCGAGACAGGGTAACACACAGATATGACATTAACATGATATACAGTATATCAATGAAAATATCCACTGGGACAATGAAGTGGGTGCCAACCTAAGACTCTGGCATTGGCAAGGTGCATACTCTACCACTAGACCACCGCTGACTAGTGAAAATCATACAACTGGATTTGTACTGAAATCACAGGAAGTTTGGGGAACTCCATGCTAAGGCCAGTCCAAGTTTTTACGTCTGACCCACAAACACTCCTGTGGAAGGGCAGACTGGTCCTACACTACGCCCCAACTTCAGAAGTGGGTACGCTATCACTCACAGAATGGGTATGCTGTCACTCACAGGATGGATATGGGTACACTATTACTCATAGGATGGGTAAGGGTACACTATCACTCCTAGGATGGGTATGGGTACACTATCACTCACAGGATGGGTATGGGTACACTATCACTCCTAGGATGGGTATGGGTACACTATCACTCACAGGATGGGTATGGGTACACTATCACTCCTAGGATGGGTACGGGTACACTATCACTCCTAGGATGGGTACGGGTATACTATCACTCCTAGGATGGGTATGGGTACACTATCACTGACAGGATGGGTATGGGAGCAATATATGCACTCCTATGATAGGTATGGGATCCACCACCGTTTAACATGGGGTATACGGGAGTACTACCACTCAGATAAGTATGGTGTAATGATAAAATAAATAAAGATCTCAAACGTTTACAAGAGCATGATGAAGGGACAAATTTCCTGAGCGGTGGATGGAGGCAGTAACACCAGACACAACACTTGTAGAACAACTCTGCTCTCTCACCACACAACACAATGTTGATCCTTAATCAACAACAACAACACAGTCGAGTAGTTTTTTATTAATCCTGACGGCCACTGTATCCTATATAGTGACCTTGGGGGGGGGAGGAGGAGCAGGAAGCTTGTCCCTTGTGTATAAGTGCCGCTATATATAATAATAATAATAATAATAATAATTTTTATTTAGGTAAGGTACATACATAAAGAGATTTTACAAAGTTTGTTGGCTTTATAGATAGAGCTAGTACATACAATGCCTAAAGCCACTATTACGCAAAGCGTTTCGGGCAGAATATATATATATATATATATATATACATATATATATATATATATATATATATATATATATATATATATATATATATATATATATATATATATATATATATATATATATATATATATAATATATATATATATATATACAGATATATATATATATATACACTATTTTGTTTCATGCTTTTGTCTATTTATTCAAGTGCTATATATGATTACATACAATTCTATATGTGTATATATATATATATTGATATGTATTATAATATCTTGAATGAGTATTTCCTGTACATATACCTTTACACTTTGTAAACTTTGTAAACTTTACACTGTACACTTTGATACCCCCTGCAGCTGTGTGATCCCAGGAAAGTTGCTTTTCGTGGCCAAATTAAACAAATGTAAATGGAGATATTAGATGAACTTACAGCTGGCTCTTGAGCTATGGTCTACTCCCTAATGTAGACACAATCGACTTGAGAATGGTTCAGGACGGACCAAAACGTCGTCGTCCCTTGACCTTGTAGTGTGTGGTCTGGTCAACTCCCTAATGTAGAGTAGGGTAGCAGCTAGCACGCTGCTCTTCCTGTACCCAAGCTTATGTTAATACAAAATAGACCAGTTACTTGGCAATAAGCAGGAGAGAGGAGTCGTCATATATGTACTGTGCTATATAAATGTCATTTAACTTTATCATCTTGATTTATAATTGTTGTTATTACGTATACTGGCCACAGCTAACATTGAACAACCAACTATAGTATATATATACCGCTCATGTGTTCATATATAGGGAGTATGTGGGTGCAACTGTTAATTACACCCTGTGGAGAGTCAGTATAGTTGACCCTGGGGGGTGGGGGAACTTCCATAAGTGTAAGTGCAGGCTTCCTGTCCCCGCCAATGCCGTTTAGGAAAATTAAAACCAGCACAATATTGACGCATCATAGACCTAATGAGGCTCCGGCAGGTTAGGCAGGAAGCCTAATTTCTGAGGCTTCTGGTTAGGCAAAACCGCTCTAGTTTTGACAGTAGTAATTGTGAGAGCGTACTTGTGTATTGTCCTTACTATATAATAATTCCCGTTGTTAGAGACATTAAGCTTTTATTTATATACGCTTATCAAGGCCACGTTATAAGACCTATAGGCCAATTATACTGACTTTTCCCAGAAAAGTCACAGGATGCTTCCCAGAAAGCATTCCATTATAGTAGCCACACTGCCAGACTACCCATTGTGCTTAGGTAGTGAATGCCACTCTTCACCCATTGCTAGGTGAACAGAGGCATTAGGTGAAAGGAAACGTGCCCAACCATTTCTATCCCGTCCGGAAATTCATCATGGGATCCCCAGTTGAGAGCGTAGACTATTGCACTACGGGACCATTATTATATTGTCTCTCTACGTGACCTCGTTCACTATAGCATAATTATTATATCAATGACCGATCCGCCAGGCTCTAGCTCCTGGCCTCCCCCAAAACTGAGTTTTATAGGCTATGATGTCCTAATGTACTAGACCTTTATGTTTATAATATTATATATTGATATATATGTATATAAATGATTCCGTCAGTACCCGAATTTTGTAGATTTAGTTGTATTGTGTTCATCAGTGTTCAAATGTATAAGATAGAGCTACACAGGAGGTATATTTATAAGTATAATTAAGGAGTTACCCTTGATGTGTGGGCAGCTTCCTGGCCTCATTCAGGCACACATTATGAGGTCACTTCCCTCTCTGGCTCACTTCATGCTCAATAATAATATTAATTATGACCTACCATGTATACACTCTAATCACATCCTATGTAATTGTTAGAAATAATTATTATTACTGCTGTCGTTTAACTATATTTTTTTCGAAATTTAATATATATTGCTATCACCTGATGCGTCTGTTCACCTAGCAGTCAGTAGGTAGTGAGGAGTGACCTTGTTGTGGGGTCACATCCTGGGCGAGGTCACCAGTTGACCTTGGGGGGGGGGACCTTAATATAGACCTAATGTGAAAAAACTAGCTATAAGTTGATGTAATGTCTCCATGTGAGAGGATGGTTAGTGACACAGGGAACTAGGGGGGGGGGGGAGAAACACCTCTCTCACTACAAAAAGAAACTAACTGTGAAATTCACATTGAAACAAGTTTATTGAGGTAAAATACACACAAAGGGAATGAGGCAGCCCCAAGCTGTTCTCATCCCGGTTAGTACAACGTGTTCATACATACATATACACACACATCACAAACAATAAACATATTGCCCAATATGTGAGTGATAAACATATATATATTTCCTTTACACAATTAATATGTTACCAGACATACACACACACACTTGTATGACTCGGTATACAGACAGTTTGCAATAGTCATTGAGACAATTCGACAAAATGTTACAATGTTGGTGTCAAATTGTGGCATCTGTGGAGAGTATGATCAATGTTGGCCTTGTGGGTGCCGGAGGAGGTGCCGGGGCTCGAACCCGGAAGGCTGTGTGACAAGGCGGCGAGTGTGACGTCACGGCCAGTCTCCCGCTGAGGCTGAGGAAGAAGGAGCAGCGGCGGCGGCGTGTAGTAGTAGTGGTGATGATGAGTGTGGTGACTCAGTGATGAGTTAGTGCTGGTGCTGCTGCTGCTCATCATGGACTACAGTCTCAGGCGACGTATACGGGGTGAGACCTCCTCCTCCACCACACTCTAATGGCCTTGTTAACTCCTCTCAACCTCTTGAGACGCTCCACACTCTCACTCCTCACACTAATCACACACAGGCAATGGTTTTGTGGCTCAAATGATGATGTATGGAAATGCTTATCCTTATTTGAGGAGCTTTTAGTCCAGGCCGAGGCTCTCATCACCCATCCATATACTGGCCGCACTCACCAGTGGTTAACCTGACTGACCGTGTGTGACCCCCACACCAGGTGGTGACCTGGGCACCCTGGGCGGGGCACAGGGCACACACCGTGGTCACTGGTACACCCTGGGGGGGGGGGGTGTTAAAAGGTACACACTATCTTGAGGTTATCTTGAGATGATTTCGGGGCTTTAGTGTCCCCGCGGCCCGGTCCTCGACCAGGCCTCCACCCCCAGGAAGCAGCCCGTGACAGCTGACTAACACCCAGGTACCTATTTTACTGCTAGGTAACAGGGGCATAGGGTGAAAGAAACTCTGCCCATTGTCTCTCGCCGGCGCCTGGGATCGAACCCAGGACCACAGGATCACAAGTCCAGCGTGCTGTCCGCTCGGCCGACCGGCTCCCAACCCTGGTGATGGTCAGTAGGTGGTCCAGTCAGTGTGATAGAGAAAATAGGTCGGGAGTCTTTGCATTAGACAACCGAAGGGTTGAAAAGTGGGGCCCAAGAGCTAAAACCTTGATTCTGCAGTCATAAGTGAATACAGGCGATGAGTCACAATAACGTGGCTAAAGTACGTTGACCAGACCACACACTAGGTGAAGGGACGACGACTTTTCGGTCCGTCCTGGACCATTCTCAAGTCGAAACGTCGTCGTTCCTTCACCTTCTAGTGTGTGGTCTGGTCAACATAAGTGAGTACAGTTATGTAGAGGACTGGTGTGGTGTAGGGAGGTGGCCACACCCCATACATCACCTCCGAGGGTCTCGTAGTGCAGGCGCTCTTGTTTTCAACGCAGACCAGGGGGGGGGGGTTGTCAATAGTTGTCCCCGGGGGGCAACAGTTGGCCACATTTCCCTTCACCTAATGCCTCTGTTCACCTAGCAGTAAATAGCTGTTATGGGTTCATCCTGGGGTGGTTCAGTAGTTTGACCTTGGTGGGTTGCTTGATATAGCCAAACTTATATAGCTTGATATAGCCAAATGTATATAGTATACACACGGGCTTCCTGTCCCTGACAACAACAGGAATTATTACTATAAAAATGTCAGAATTCCAGGTGGGTGGTGGAGGCCGAGCACCGTGACGCTGGCAATGCTGTGCTTGACAAAATGCAACAGGGTTTAACGAAATATTAAAAAATTAATATTTTTTTAATGATTTTGGCATCAAGTAATATAGTCATGTAGGCCTAGTGGTCTCTCTTTATCCTTACCTGTTCTGCTGTAATGATGAACTCTGAGAATGTGGAGGGAGGTGTGGTAGAACGTGAGAGTTTTATAAGGTCAACATTCTGAAACTTGGAGTTTTCCGACATCCTAACCCAGAATTTTTTAACTGGGTTTCATTGAACCCCCAAGGTATCTAGGAGCTTTACATGAAATAATGATAAATAGGCTAATTTTAATCATATGCAAATGTATTTTTGAGTTTTTGTTATTTTTTTTTTATTTAACCAGTATCAAGAGCAAAGACAAATTGTCTCCTTTCAGTTGACAATGAAATCCATGTGTGTTTATGTAAGGTCTAACCAGGAGTTATTCAAGCGTACAAAGATTGAGAAACGCTGTGACCCATGACATTGGTAGGAACGTGCATGGTGTACGATCCACCAAGATTAATCTTAAGTTGGATAACAGCTTCAACATTCGGCAACAACAATGTAATGTTTTTACTACGGCACCAGTCTCCGTGGTGCAGTGGTAAGACACTCGCCTGGCGTTCCGCGAGCGCTTTGTCATGGGGTTCGTATCCTGGCCGGGGAGGATTTACTGGGCGCAAATCCTTAACTGTAGCCCCTATTTAACTCAACAGTAAAATGTGTACTTGGTTGTATCAACGATTCTTCGCGGCGGGGATCGTATTCCAGGGACCTGCCCGAAACGCTACGCATACTAGTGGTTCTATAAGAATGTAACAACTTTTGTATGCATCTCAAAAAAAAAAAAGCTACTGTACAATACTTGACTTGTTCAGTTCCTACCCCTCATGTATTGGGGTGCTATCCTTACTTAGATAAAAATTTGGTTGTCGCAAAGGAAATGGGAAGCAGATAGTATAGTATATTATATTTTCACTATACTTTTTTCCAGATTTATCTTAATAATAGTCTAGGATGGACAGAAATGTTATTGCATTTTTACAGTTGTATTGTGTGGATTTAGTGCACTGTTTAGTTTATATATTAACTAATAAGAACTCATTTATAAATACAGTATAGCTTAACAGTTTAATAAATTATGATACCAATATCATATCATTTATTAACTTAAATGATACTTGGGGTATTGTGTATTATTGTAATACTGTACTGTACAGTAATGTGCTCTAGCTGTAAAATAATAATTTATAAAATTCTCAGTGGTAACCACTTGGGCTGGACGGTAGAACGACGGTCTCGTTTCATGCAGGTCAGAGTTCAGTCCCCGACCGTCCACAAGTGGTTGGGCACCATTCCCCCCCCAGACCCCCCCCCCCCCCGTCCCATCCCTAATCCTTGTCCTGACCCCATTCCAAGTGCTACATACTGTAGTTTTAATGGCTTAGCACTTTTTCCTGATAGTTCCCTTGCCTTGAGTGGTAACTAACCATTTGGACTTTGCCATGTGAGTTTTGCAGCAGAATTTAGAAATCCATGTCAGTAAGATTTTGAATTTAATGAAGATAGATGCCATCTGTTGTAACTTGTGGTATTAAGGTTTGATAGTACAGTACTGTATGACTCGCTACCAATTTCAGAAATACAGTACTGTACTATTGCCACTTGTTATTCAGATTGGCTAGACCAGGTAATGTGATGCAACATCTATCATCAAGAACAGTAACAATCTTGTTGATTACCAGATATTCTCTTAATATCTACAGTATCATACTTGAACATACTAATCTTGGAGGTTTTGCAAAGATTTTGATACTTTAACTTATAAAATTAAGTAAAAACCAGAAAATGGGTGTAATGCATATTTAGCAAAATGATTTTACATTTTTTTTCCTACACATTTGTATTAGCTTTAAATTGCAAACTGTGTACAGTATTTTAAGTCGAGATGATACGTATTCAAATGATATGACGGTGGATTTTTTCAGGGTTCAGAGGATGGAAGTTGAAAGGTGAACAGTTTGAAGCCATAGCAACTGTAATATTAAGAGTACCAGGGTATTTAATTCTGGATTACTGGTACCAAAATGATGTCCGCAACTGCATTCCTCGGTCCTTAGCATGGGCAGATGTTGTGTCATCGGGCTTTGCAATATTTGGTGAGTATTATTGTTCTGCCGTACATTGGATGCCTGGTCAAATGGAGATTGTTTCCCTTGCAAATGGGATATAATGAAGTTGGAGTACAGGAATCGTATAGTGCAAAACACTATGCTTTCTTGGGTACAACACACCATTATTATATGTTTGACCAATAGTTACTGTAGGTACAATCATGTTTCGATGATGGGCTGTATCACAACTACACCACCACCATATTACTGCCACCACCAAGTACTGTACTACCATCACTGAATGCACAGTTAGCTACATTCTCAGCTTACAATCCTTGTCATTTTCACCACCATTACATCCACTCATATTTTCACCATCAGTGTTCAAAGGAAAAGGTTTGCAACCACCTTCATTTGCAGCTGCAAGGGCAAATATTGAAAAATGAATAATATTAATTTATATGATATAAATATTTCATAGAATCTGATTTTTTATATTCTTTTTACATTTTGTATAAAGCCACTAATGATACTAAGAAGTAGTGTCGAAAGAGCTAGTGCTCACTGGCCATAGACAGTGAGAGGTAAACATTACAGCACCACTACATTACACCACACTGCCATTGCTCCACCATCATGCTGTAAAATTCAGCTCTCTGTAATCATTACAGTTCCCCATGTTCAGTGCCTCAACAATACTTATTATGCCACTTTCTTCCAGTCATGACATCTGCCTCCATGGCGATACATCTCTTGATCACCTACAGTCATAGAATATCTAGTCTTAGATTAGATATAATCCTGCCGAAACGCTTTGCGTAATAGTGGCTTTAGGCATTGTATGTACTAGCTTTATCTATAAATCTATCAAATTGTGGAAAATCTCTTGTATGTATGTACCTTACCTGAATAAACTTTTTTTTTTTTTATAATGTTCAATTTAGTTCAAACAAATATTTGTAACTTACAAATGTTTTTGTTGGTTGACAGCTGTGATCCAAGGTGTTCTGGTGCTGCTGCTGCCCCTGGAGCAGCTAGTGAGCCTTTACATGCACTACCTCACTATTGCTGTGCTGGCTGCTGCAGACACTTTCTCCAACTATTATATTGAAGGGGAAAAGCACCTTGTTAATCAGTGGCCAGATTATGGCACTGTCAGCTTCCAGGTATTGTAGTCTTAATTTATATATGACTTTCTCATGCTTCTCTTAATGATATTTTTAAGAGAATGATTGTATAATCTGAGAATATTTTTAAGAGAATGATTGTATAATCAGAGGATATTTTTAAGAGAATGATTGTATAATCTGAGGAGTTTATTCTCTATGAGGTTAATGAAGTCTTGGAATTAAACACTAATCTCAAGATTTTTTCATTTGCTGTAGATGTTAGAGCATGTAAGTTTTAAACATAGCTCAAGTAATGGTTTATCTGTTAGTTCCTTGCACCTGTGGGATAACTCTATATTTCAGTACACAGCCCGTCTCAAGTTTTCTGCAAGTTCATAGTTATGTCGTTGCTGTATGGCATAGAATTCAAGTAGCAGCAAAAATAAAGCTTTATCACCAGAGAATCACCAAGCAAGTTCTGAAGACTATTTGATTACTCAATACACAGACTACCCTTACTGCTAAGAGGCAAGGTTACTACCCTACCAACTAGAGCAGTGATTTTCAACCTTTTACATCTCGCAGCACAGTGAACCAGGCACTAAAATGGTCAAGGCACTCCATCAGTTGTTTAATAATAAGCCTAATAAACCCTGAAAAAAGAAATGACTGAATATTTAAGAAAAACAAAATAACTAAAACAAGATAAATAAAAAATGCATTATCTTGAGTAACAAATGTTAACCAAATCACACACTAGAAAGTGAAGAGACGACGACGTTTCGCAATTGACTTGATAATGGTCCAGGACGGACCGAAACGTCGTCGTCTCTTCATTTTCTAGTGTGGGGTTTGGTCAACACACTTCAGCCACGTTATTGTGACTCCTCATCTGCATTGACAAATATTTTATCCATAGTGGGAACACAGTCCCATGGTCATTGTTTGGGGGAGGATCGACTCTCTTCAAAATTCCCACGGCACATCTACAGATGCTTCACAGTGGTTGATAATTGCTAAACTAGAGGGTCAGAGGAGTAGGTCACCTCACTTTTGAGTTTGAGTAACTCTACCTTATACAGGGAACACCTGACTCTAGTTTCAGGCTAGTTCCATTAGTGGTTCTCCTTGCTCACCCTATACTACAGTGAAGGTATAATAGCATAAGAAATATAAATGGGGTAACTTGTCTGTGAGAGGTGAGGCAGAGAGGGGACCTGGACTGGGCAGAACATCCAGAGAGGACATAAAGAAAAATGATGGTAGAGCAGTAAACTACTGCATTGTAAGTCATGTGCATGAAGGATAAAATGAAGCTGACATTATTTATCCCCAGTAAAATGACTGGGAATGGCATCACACAGAGAGAGAGAGAAGAATTATGCGAGGATTAAAAACTATGCATGAAAATGTGAAAAAAGCTATTTATTGAAGAATACGATGTCCACTTGGTTACACAGATGATGCCTCCAGCAACAAAGGCCCCGACAGAATGTTAAAGACTTGGAAATAGACAGGATGGCCAAGGAAATGTATGACGGAAGCAATTTCCAAGCCCAAAGCACCCAAAATGAGGAAGGAGAGAATGGTCTAGAGTGAGATAAAGGGAGCAAGGCTTCTCAAGAGGAATACGAGACAAATACATATTAAGAGTGCTAGAGCATGTTTACATTAGAGGTGCACACACTAAACCCAAGGAGAGCAGGCTTGGCTAAAGCTGGCAAAAAAAAAAAAAATGCAAAAGATGCAATACAGTTTCAAGATAGCTAAAAACACAAGTCTAACAGAGCAGAAATTACTGGAAAGTTACTGGAAATAAACCACCTGATATTGGTGCCCCAAAAAGGCTACTAAGAAGATAAATTAAATTAAGAAATCTGCCTACTATTTTCCATACTGGGGACAGCAAATCCATTCAAGAAAAAACACTAATAGAGATCAGCAGAGAGCCAAGATCCATCCGTGTATGCCCCAGAAGGAAAAACAAATTTGGGCAGAAAGGCCATGTACCATATCCACCGAACCATTGGTGAAACCACCTTCCCCAGGCCTCAACACCAAGTAAGGCTTATGGGAGAGGACCAGAACCACAAGGGAAATACACCACCTGGAAGTTGGCCTTCAGAGAGACCCTTGGGGGGTGAGTTAATAAATGAGGAATATGGTCAGCTGGACCCCTAAAAATGCCTGCCATGAGAAAAAGGGAAAACCTCAGTGCCCCCTCCAACCCAAGAAGCAGATCGGGCAAAAGGGTGACTTGTCAAGGGTGGCTTGTCTAGCTTGTCAAGAAAGAAAGATCCCAATATGAAGTCAAGTGGTGACTATAAACAACCTTCATATCACACAACCAGCTTGAAACCAAAATGACATTGGAAGGTGAGGAGGACCTACCAAGCCAGGAATGAGATCCCAGTGTGACAGAGTGAACATTGACAAACAAGATACCCCCGAGTGCTAATGCCCACCTCTTGGGTACTGCTGAGCACTGAGCAAGAGAAGCAACAGCCACAGAATCTTGGGGAAAATGAAATGTGTTTTGGAAATGTGTTGTTCCTCGAGTTTATTCATACATGTCCTTCATATACACAAAAGTAATCACACTCTAAAATTACTGTATTCTCAGAAATTCATAATATTTCTCCAAATGTTTAATTGATTTGTACATATTGGAGATTATGGAAAAATAGTTTGCTACTTGAATAAATATATACTAAATGCTACATTGGACTAGGGATGATTAATGATTAAAATATGTACATTAATTCAAATGGTAATAAGTACTTGTTGATTATACTGATGTAGTAATTTTTTAAGTTTAAATCGGCTGTGTAAACAATTTCAGAGGGTACATAGTACTGTATGGTAGTAATTGGAATGAAAAGAAAATTTGAGCATAGCAAGTACTGTAGTAGGTGGTGTTTCACTTCCTTAATATTGGATCAAAAGGCAAGATGATAATTTTTATATTTACAAAATGTTTTGTAGTAAGTACATAGTGTAGAGTTGTTTCCCTTTACAAAGAATAAATGTTTTTTCAGGGCTTCTCCAATATGCTGATGTTGCAGAAGTCATTGTTTGATCCACATAATGATATGGAAACGTTGTACCTGAGGCAGCAAGTTGCAGCTATTGTGTTTCACACGCTTGTCGCCACATTTGTAACGTTCTTCCTTGACTTAGAGTGCAATAAAGATAAGGTAATGATATTTTTAAAGGTTCCTTTTCTGCTAATAGCTAGCATTTCGAGTTTATTGCAAGATCGTACTTTTCTGTGGGGAGTCCCTTCGGCTCCCTGGAGCTATCGGGCTAATGTATGATATATTAGATCAGGGCATTAGTCTAAGGAGTTCAACCTACCAGGGACCACGAACCAGAACCTGGCCCCATCAGAGAGGTTGCAGGGAGCAGTGGCCGTGGAAAAAATCCTGTGGTTGGGGTTTTCCTTACGTCATCAACGGGGGTTAGGCACCCAAAAAGGTAGGAATAACAAAACAAATCCCACGTGGTAAGAAAAGTACAACAAAAAATCAAATAGAAAGGTAGAACGCCCTCCAATCTCAAACAAACAAGCAAATGTCACTCCCCACTGCCGCGCTGCTGGTCCGCGCAGCCCTTCCCTCCCCGCACCGGCTACCCAGCACTCCAGTTCGTTAGCTAATGTGGTTCGGGGCGGATGTCTTCTCTGGCCTCGATTTCCATTGGTGGGATTTTGCCATCATGGCGACCTCTGCAGTGTTGTTGTGTGTGTGGCGGCCAGGTGTCCTTATCAGTGCCGGGCTGCATGTGCTTAGGGGCACCCTTCCCTAGGTGCCCTGTGAGTACTGCCCTTGCTAGTTAGGGTTCCCTTCCCTGATGCGTTTGGGAAACTATTTCTGTAGGGGTTTTTGCTGCTCGGCATTTATCCCGCACTTGGGGTCAGCTGTGGTTTTGTGGCCCTTGTTTAGCCTTGGGTAGGGAATGATATTGTGCTGGTTGGGACATCGAGGTGTTGTGCAGCCTGCCTACCTATGTGGTAGCCGGTTGGGGATGTTGCACTTTTTTTTTTTTTCTTGCCAGAGTCTGCCTGGTGTGGCTATACAGTAGTTCCAATTTTATTATTTTGGTGGCCCTCTACTAGGCCCCCATGCTTGTAAACATCGCATGGATTTCAGTGTTTTGATATTCCCCCTTATAAGCTTTGGGTATTAACCAGTTAGAAACAACTTGCCCGAGCTTCCCATCGCAATCGGGTTACAGGCCTGGTAAACCCTGTTGGGGCTCAGTGGACCTATGGATGCGTCTTCAGAGTTCCAGCCTGCCTCTTGTGCAAGTTCGAAGGTTGCTGTGTGCCCTTGTCTCAGGGTAACAGTCACTTCTTTTGCCTCGGTCATGCTGCCTGTTGGGTCAACGACACCTTTAACCCAGAGTCTTGCGAGTCATGTTCTCTGCTTGTTCTCCAGTATTATTCTGATGACATTGCTGTTAGGGTACAGGCAGCATCCACGTTGCATGCTAGGTTCAGGTTGTTGCAATGCGCTAGGTTGGTTTCCCACCCGGATGCCCCGCTTTAGTTATAAGGACCCGGACCTGGGGGCGTTAATTGCTTCGACTTTGATTCAGTCTGCGCTCCCTAGTCCTTCCTCTTTTGTTCACCCTGCTTATCGGTCCCCCCCCCCTCCCCTCCTTCCGGCTCCCAAACATCTGAGGGTTTCGGAGTAGAGACAGGGTTTAGTTGGTAATGAGACTCTGGCAGCTTCTGGGGCTGCCCCATTTGGGTTGGGGACAAAGGCATTAGAGCTGGTTTCCCTTGCCGAGGCTTCTGGGTCCCACCAGCAGGCCCTCTTCTTTTCAGCCTTTTCTTCATGGGTAGAGGGTATGGAGAACTGCTCTGCCCCGGGTCCTGTCTTGGGGGATCCCGGGGCTGGGGAGGAGTCGACCTGGGGGCTTTGGGCCCCCCTTCGACACTGCTTGGGTGTTAGTGCCCTCTTCGTGGGGCTTGTTGTTGGAGGGGGAGGGTTTTTCTTAACCCCCCCCTTCCCTGTATGATTTGGGGTCGGCCCCTCCCCAGATTTGGTTCCGGGCTCCCTTGGGTTCCTCGACCCCGTCCTTCCAGAGGTTTTCTGCCTCGTATCTCCCCTCGAAGAGGTTCGGGAGGCTCTTGCTGCATACCTCTGTGAGACCCAGGTTCCACCTCCGTGATGGATCTGTCTTTATTTGTGTTTGGTTCGTCTTCCCCATATTGGGTGCGTTTAGAGGTTCCAGAGTCTTCCTGGCTGGCAGTCTGTCCATTTTTTTGTTGGGGGCGTGGCATAGGTTTTGTTGGTCCCGCACGCTTGAGTGGCGAGAAACTTCTACAGTTCTGCAGGTTTACCTGGGGGCAAGTTGGAGCATCTTAATGCTTGCTTGTTCACCCCTGTGCTTTCTCGGGACATTGGCCTTGTGCAGCTGCACGTGCAGGTTCCTACCCTTTCGGCATCCTTGGTAGCTGAGGATTTGCGCGCCCATGGGCATTTGGCTTTGGTCATGCACTTCTTTTCCCTTATTGAGCTGTCTTCTCCCTGGCTTGAGGAAGATGTGGAGGCATTGAGAGCCTGGCCTTCATCTGGGGTGCTGTCCTCAGTGGCTCGAGCATCGGCTGCACTGTTGAAGCTGTTTGTGCCTATCCTGAAGGAGGCAGTGTCTCTGTTCTTTGCTTCTCGCCTCATGTGCTGACAGGCTGTGCTCGCTCTCTCTTTTTGGAATCCGCTTGGGCCCTGGCTCTTAGGTTTTCATTACAGTTTTGTCTGTTGCTGTTTGCGGAGTCTGCTGTCACACAGTTTCTGCTGGCGGCTTCGTCCAGTTGTCGTCTTATGTCGGACTTGTTGGTTCTCTGGGGCGACCGGTCTCGGTCTTCTCAGAAGGGTCGTGCCAGGGTTCGTGAGTTCTGCTGGTCAAGGTAGGCTTTGGTGCCAGCTTCTGAGCCAACGATGCCTTCGAAGCCAGCGTCGTCTGGTTGGTACAATTATCGCTCTGTTCGTTGGCCAGCTTCTCGTAAGGAGTGTTGACCCTTTCGCAATTTGCCCTGTTAACGGGGCAATGGGGGCGAGGCTCACTCTGTTTGCTCGCACTTGATCCCACGATTTGTGGGTGTTTTCAGTTGTGACATCCGGCCTGTGGTGGCGTTGGGTGGCGGCTCTTCCTTCGGGGGGTTCGGGGCTGACGGGGCAGGCGTCTTCCCGTGTGCTTCATCAGGTTATCTTGGAGTGGGTGCGCTTGAGCGTGGTCGAAATGACCCCATCCCCTCAGGTGGGTTTCTCGCCTGTTCCCAGTGCCGAAACGAGACTGTGTGGATCTGCGGTTCATTTTGGACTTGTCCCGTCTGAACCCCTGGATTCCTTGCCTCTCCTTTTGGATGACCACTCTGTCTCGGGTCCAGCTTCTTTTGGAGCCGGGTGCTTGGATGATGTCTCTGGATCTCAAGGATGCTTATTGGCACATCCCTATTCATTCGGGGTTCAGGGACTGGCTAGGTTTCGTGGTGGGGTATCAGGCTTACTGTTTTCGTTGCCTTCCTTTTAGCTTGCATCTGGCACCTTGCGTATTCACATTTCTTAGCCGGGTCGTGGTGACCCGTTTGCGTCTGCTAGGAATTTGGGTCCTGGCCGACCTCAATGACTGGCTGACGTGGGCTTCCAGCTGGTCCACTTGTCTGCTCACCAGGAGTGTGGTTCTTTCCAAGCTTGTCGGGTTCGGGTTATTGGTGAACTGTGGAAAATCCCATCTGGTTCCGTTCCAGGTTCAGTCCTGGCTGGGTCTTGTTTGGGACACTTCCATGTCTCTCCCTCTAGAGGCATTGCTGAGGCTGTAGTCTTGCCTTCATCTGTTTCTGAGGGGGGTGGCTGCTCAAGCAGTTGTGTGGGAGTTTAAACTTTGCCGTGCTGGTCTACCCACTGGGTCGGATTTGGCTTCGCCGTGTGTTCAGGTTCCTTCGGGGACCTTCCGCTTCTCTCGTGATTGCTAGGTTCGTCCTTCAGGGGCCTTGTGTTGGTTGCTGCGTTGCGAGCTTCCTCTTCAGGGTTTTCGGGGTTCAGTGCCTTGGCGCCTATCCGAGCCCCTCACTCGATGTGTTCAGGGACATGTCGTCCCTCGGCTGGGGCTTTGTGACCAGTGCTCACCAGGCTGGCCAGGGGCGATGGGGTCTGCTTTTCCGTCGGGCTCACAGCACAGTGCTGGAGTTCGTGGTGGTTTGGCTGCTGTTCGGAAGGTTTAGGTCACTTGGGATTCGACCATCCAGTTCCATTCGGACTGTTCTCTGGTGGTTCATTGCCTGAACTGCGGTTCTCTTTGGGGCTGGTCGCTTTGCTTGTGTCTGCTGCCTTCTCGGGATTTGGCTCTGTGGGGTTCATATCTGAAGAGTGTCCAGCATCCTGGCAGATGGCCTGTCTCTGTTCATTTCCCTGTCCACAGAATGGATGGTCGACGATTGTTTGAGGCTTAGCCTCCAAACTTGTCTTGGATAGCCGGCAAGGGGAGGGAAGGCCTGCTCGGACAAGCAGCACGGCAGTGGAGTGTGTCGTTTGCTTGTTTCCTTGGGATTGGAGGGAGTTCTACCTCTCTTTGGTTTTTTGTTGTACTTTTCTTACCATGTGGGGTTTGTTTTGTTATGCCTACCTTTCTGGGTGCCTAACCCCGGTCGATGGCAGATAAGGAAAACCCCCAACCACTGGGAGGTTTTCCAGGGCTATTGCTCCCTGCAACCTCTGAGGGGGCCAGGTTCTGGTTCATGGTCCCCGGTAGGTCGAACTTGATTGACAAATGCCCCTGTCTAATATATCGCACATTACCCCGATAGCTCCAGGGAGCCTCCGGGGCTCGCCCAGTAAATGGCATTTCATTACATTCAACGTTGGTTTCTTTAACGCTGAAAATATTACGTATTGATAAAACTGGCATTAATGTTATATAGGACTTGAAGAATTTACATAAACTTATAAATTAATATTTTTTCATCATTTCAGATTCTGCTATTAGTGTATCTGGTGCCTGTGTTTGCTCGCCTGGCTGGCTTCCCAGTACTGGAGCTTCACCTCACTCATAATTTTGCTTCCTGTTTTGTTATATTCTTGACTGTTCAGTACATATTTCTGTGTGTTCCTCATGTGTTTAAATTTTTGAAGCACATTTACAGCACTCTTGTAGAAATGGTTGAACTATATGGACCTCTAGGAGTTATAATTACTCTGTGGAGTCGTCTGTTTGTTCCCATACAGTTGCTTATTTTCTGGTTAATTCTTTTCATTACTCAGCTATATAACCATTATTTACCTTCTCATAATACAGCTGTAGCACCTAAGCCAGGTACAGCTTTAACATCACCTGGTGGTGCTCTGGTTGGTGTGACTGCAGCAGTAACGGGTGGGGCAACAGCTGGGTCGGCGAGTACGGCATCTATAGCGAGTTCGGCTCCGAGTGAGATGTGGTATTTGGTAATAGTGCAGAGTGCTGCCGAGGTTTGCTACACGCCTCTCATGTTGGCCGGCACCTGCGTCGCCGTCTCGTACGCTTCTCGGATTATTTTATCCATTACTAGAACTTACACGGCTGGTCCTGGAGCAGCACCGCTGCCAGATGATCTTGTTCACTCGGGCTGGACGGAGGGTGTCACAATGGCTCTTCTGGCAGTGCAGACTTCACTCTTAAATATGGCAATGCCTGAACGCTTGGCAGTTTTGTCCATAATCTTGCTTATCGTTGTCTCGTCACTGGTTCAAAGTATGTATGAAATTGTTGAGCCAGTAGTTTTAGCCCTCAGTGCTCAGGGTGTAGCATCTATATCCAGGCATGCTCGTGCTGTGAGTGCGTGCTTACTGTTGCTGTTGCTTCCACTATACATGGTTTATATGTTCACACTGATATTTGAGCAAGACTTTTGGCTACTGCTTGTTGTATCCACAAGCATCATGACTTCTGTGCAAGTGTTGGGTTTATTGGCAACATATGTGCTTCTCACATGGGATGCAGTTTGTGCACAGCCATGGCCAGGATTAGATGATTTGGTTTATTATACTCGAGCTACTACAAGGGTGTTTGAGTTCATTGTTGCTGTGTTTGTTGTGGGTGCTGGGGTGAAGGAGTCTATAACAGGTCAGTGGTCATGGATCAATGCTGTTGTGTTGCTGATTCACTGTTACTTTAATGTCTGGCAACGTTTACAGCAAGGCTGGAAGAGTTTCTTGCTAAGATTAGAGGCAGCTAAAAAGATATCTGCCTTACCAGAAGCTTCTCAAGAACAGCTGCAAGCCCACAATGATGTCTGTGCCATTTGTTACGCAGAAATGACTTCAGCTCGAACTACACACTGCAATCACTTATTCCATGGCCCATGCTTACGCAAATGGCTGTATGTTCAAGATAAATGTCCCATGTGTCATGCTCCCATCACACTTAAGGATACAGATTATCCTGAAAATGCTGAGCAAGATGCCACTGATGCCCATCCACCACCACCTGAGTCTATTGAGACAGAACTGGGGGCAAATATTCCCTTGCCCGATGGCGAGAATGAAGATTTAAGTCTTTTGAACACTGACGAGGAAGATGGTGAAGAGTTACAAGATGGGTATGCATTGCACGAACCAATGATAGGGATTGAGGCGGGGGAAGCACATGTTAGTCATATTCTAGAGTAAGAAGACAACTCTTGTTATTAGTAAGCTGACAAAGTTTGAGAAGCTGAGCTTAAAGCCGTCATTAAAATTCTATTCCTTACACTTTGTTTTACGAGGTGAGTGCAGGAGCAGACTACTTCTGACTCCTGTTAGCAGGCTGAGAGCTTTTCCCTACCATAGCTCATGGTAAGCCTTACCCACTAGTTTTACACACAGGTGGGTACAGGAGCAGACTACTTCTGACTCCTGTTAGCAGGCTGAGAGCTTTTCCCTACCATAGCTCATGGTGAGCCTTACCCCACTAGTTTTACACTGGAACACAACCTGCCCACTGGTTAACAGCCAGGTACCCAGTTACTGCTCGGTGAACAGAGAAAGAGTTAAGGATTGATGTCCAGACAGTCCTCCCTGGCCAGGACTTGAACCTCGAGAAATCCCTCATCGGGGGGAGTGTGGTAGTACCACTACACCGCTAGGGAAGAGTTGTGTAAAATCTTTTGCCTACTGTATTGCAACTATTTGTCCTTGGATCAGATATCGGCAGAGGTGGGCAGACCCTAGTTCAGCAGGGACTGAATTCCTGGAACTTGATCCATTGTGAGGATTGTGACTGGGAAAGTCAGTTTTTTCTAGGCATGACTGAAGTATGAACTGATGGTCCATTTTACAGGAATTCTGGACAATGTAACTTTTTTTCAATGTTAAAAACTAGAAGAGAAATGTGTGTTATGTACCAATACAAAAATGTCTCTTTCAAATTTGATATATGAATAAATTATACATCAAATATATATTTTAAATCAGGGTCAGTTGTGCACAATCTATGCAGAAAAATGTCATGTAGAATTGTATGGCAAGTGAGCTCAGCATTGAAGGACTTGGTCAAGTTCAATACAACTCTCCCCCTCAAGTGCCATCGTGGAGAGGCTCTTCTCTCTGGGGAAATACATCATCGGGGGGTTTCACTGACACCCATTTTGACATGCTAGTCTTGAAGGAAAACTGGAACATTCAAGCTATTATATTTTGTGCTAGTTATAAGTACTGTACAGTAGTAATTGACCGTAACCTTCAGTTCCTTTTGAGGAATGGGTGACCATCTTTGGATAGCTGTTACTTCCGAATGTACATAGTTACTTGGTGGTCTGTTGACTAAAATGTTTGTTTAAACTGCTTTCTGAAGAACGGCTAAATATCTATATCTATATTTTATCTTAATTACAATTTTCCTTTAAAGTTTCCTCTCGTGTGTGTGATACTTCGGTGATGTTTTACCCCATAAATTGTTTCTCAAGTACCGTATTACTATATTCTTGTGAATTGTGTAATGAAAATGTTCTGATAAGACTACAGAAATTTTCAGCAGACATTCCATTATATCTGACCACCAGTGTGGGTGTTTTTCTTGTGAGAATTACCCAAAATTAAGGGTGACAGCTTTTCTAATGTGATAAATGTCACTTTATGATCAGTGTTTATTAATTCATTGTTAATCATAATGTTCAAATGGTGCAAGTTCCATTTTCATAAAATATTCATTCTTGTTAATTACAAACATACTGTATTTGGCTTCAATCAAAAGTTCCTTGTAAAGCTTGAATGTGAAGCACTTAATAACACTATTGTTGATATTAACATTGAGTAAAGAAAATATTGAAGAAAGTTTGTATGTCGTGACTTAACACTGCTGCAGTAACCCAATATGGCCCCGCATGTTGCACACTCTAGGGACTTATATCATTCTTTGACTGTTTGTTTTGACTCATAAATTGGCCATTGTAGATTCACATGGAGCACACTTTCCACCTTATTGTAGCAAATTGTAGATAATTTATTGAAAATATGATGTATTCATAATGCACACAATTTAAAAAAAAATTGAGAGGTCGTATATGAGGAATCCATAAGAAAGGCACAAGTTCTGTAAGTTTAAACCTTGAGCTGGGGGATATGGCATGTCTGTTATTGCTAGACATTTGTTTTGAAGAAGGTTTAGATGTAGTTAACATATTCAAAAAAGAATTTTGTGAAGACAAACAGCTTCATAGACTAAGCTGTCACCAAGGCTGGTTGAGCCCAGGCCAGACTGTGATAGAACAGCTGTCAAAATCGTTTACAGGTAATGGCATCATTATATGTACAAGCTGGTACAGTATATTGTATGATGTATTTGAGAGTGAATCTTAAAGTAAACTGAAGCCAGGAGGTGATAGATAAAAGCACCATTGTTGTACTGTACGAACCACATGTGAAAATAATGCTACATAGTCTCTCTGGCTTGGCACCTTCATTTGATAATTACAGTGGCACCTCGACTTAAGACTGCCCCTATTTACGGCTTTTTTGGGTTACGACCCCAATTTCGTCTAAAAATGCGACTCGACTTACAAGCTTTGCCTCGACTTGCGGCTTTGTTGATACATGTATGGGTCGACTGAGCCCATGGTTCCTGGTAGCACGGTGACCCCACCTCGATTTACCAGAGCTGCCCGCTTAGTGACGATTGCGCCTGTAAAGAATTTCATTATTTTTGTGCTTATTTCTTTTTTGAACATAAAAGTAATTATTATATATGATGCCATGGGCCCAAGAAAATCAGTGATAAGGATCAACCCAAGAAAACGCTTGTGAGGATGACCATAGAGGAAAAACAAGAGATCATTTGTAAACATGAAGATGGTGTGCGGGTTGTTGATCTAGCTAGGTAGTACAACAAATCTATGTCGACGATATCCACTGTGCTTGCCAAGAAAAATGACATTGAGTGCTAAAGTGGCAAAAGGCATATCAATATTCACGAAACACAGAACACAAGAGCACAATCGACTTGGGAATTGTCCAGGACGGACCGAAACGTCGTTGTCCCTTCACTTTCTAGTGTGTGGTCTGGTCAACACAGAACGCAAACACTTGAGGATGTTGAGAAGTTATTATTAATTTGGATACACAAGAAGGAGTTAGCGGGTGATAGTTTCAGAGGCCATCATTTGTGAAAAAGCAAGACTATTGCATGAAGAACCTCTGGAACGAGTGATGCAGATACGAAAGATTTCAAGACTGGCAGGGGAAAGAAATGGCATTCACAGTGCTGAGAGAGTTGTGTTGTGAGTTGTTGGAGGAACACAGTGAAGAACTGACCACCGAAGAACTCCTAGCCCTTCAAGGAGCAGCAACAAGAGACAGTTGAGGAAATTTCTTCAGGGGAGGAGGAGGCAGTACAGAATGTCCTTTCCTCAACAGTTAAGAAATGGTGTGCAGTATGGAAAGAAATGCAAAGTTTTGTTGAAATGACTTGCCCAGATCAAGTTGCAGTAGGCCATTGCCTTAACCTTTTCAGTGACACTGTGATGCCTCACTACAGACAAGTGTTCAGACGTATGGAAAAATGAGTCTCTGTGGAAAGATTCTTAGCGAGATAAACAAGCAGTGAACCACAACCAGGTCCTAGTGGTATGCAGGCAAAACATAGGAGAGAGAGTACCCCAGAGAAGTCATCACTGCCTGATGTTATAATGGAAGGGGACTCCCCTTCCAAACACTAACACCTCTCCTCCCCCCCCCCCCTCCTCACCATCTTCCATACACCAACAAGAGTCCTTAATAAAGTTAAGATATACATACTGTATTGTAGCTAGTATAAAAAGTGCTATTTGGTATAAAATGTATTTTTAAGTTAATCCGTTCCACACCCCCAAAAATATTAAATCAGTTTACGTTATTACTTATGGGGAAAATCTGTTTTGCTTACAAATTTTTTTACTTAGGACCTGTCTCTATTAACGGATTAAATTCGTAAGTGGAGGTACCACTGTACAGTACTTGCTTAAATCAGAAAATAAAGAGATTGAGGACGTTTTGGGCCATCCTGTACTGTAACTTTGTCACTTTATTTTCAGATGTTTGTGTTTGGTGTCTAAATTTTAGCGACATTATTGTGACTTGTTGTGTTTCACCTTATATGAGAAGGCTCAAATATGGGAATCATATAGTAGTGACAGATGAGAAGTATATTGGGAGGGAAGTGTGGAACATTATATGAAATAAAGGTTGGGGAGGGGGAAACTTGAAAGGGTGAAATGTTTGTGTGGTGATAACTTCCTGTAGAAGCTTGTACTGTGCCGTCCACCTCCTAATGGGAAGCTGCTTGGAAGGAGTAAGGCATCAAGGCTGTTCATGGATATGGCAGTAGAAAAAGGAATAGAATGAAGGAGACAGTAAGTCGAGAGAGAATTGCTTAATGGTAAGAATGCATTTGTATACTAAATGATGCTGCAAACAGGTGAAAATGGAAACAGATTGACATGTTCGCAATGCAATTTTTTGCATTTTTCAATATCACACAATACTGCAAAGATTACAAGTATTTAGATCAATATTATTGAATATAAAGAAACTAGTAATTTCAGAATACTGTATTTGTGTTTGGAAATATTTATATTTTTGGTTGAAACCAAACATTTCTTGACATTTTAGCTTTAAAGAAAACATTTCTGCATATTTATTTTGTATGGGTGGTTGTCAATTGAACAGTTCACAGCAGGTTATTTGGTCGAAAACATTTTTGGTGTCTGATGTTGGATTCAAATAAACAAAAAGATGCAAATAGTATTAACCCCAACTACTACAAGACTGCTTTGGCAGTATGTTTTTTGGGTTTACTCTAGATACGAAGCCTTGAGCATTTGTATGATGTGTGTGCAGACGGTAAGTCACAATAATGGGGCTGAAAATTAGACACCCAGCTCACAGATCTGAAAACAACGGAGTTGACTAATAAAGTCAACTCCTTTGTTTTCAGATGTGTGGGTTGGTATCTAATAGAGTATATTTTTGTCATGAATAATTGACATAGTTTTGATTGGTTTCTGTGCAGCTATTTGAATAATTTTAGGTTTCTGATTCCACCTTATAAACATAATTATTGTTGTCTACCAACAAGTATTGTTGGTAGAGAGAGAAATCTCACAACAAACATTCAAAATTACTCTTCAGAATTTTGAGTAAAACTTTAAATGTGTTGGGCTGTTTGGAAAATAAAAAAAGTTATGAGAAGTTTTTGAATCGACAGAGCACTTGCATCGTGTGTCTTAAATACTCACCACATCACAAACACTGAAGTCTTCAAATGTTGTGTCACTGGTTTAAACAAATTTTAAAACAGTATACAGTATAAATGGTTGTGGAAATCATGTATTACTACATGTTTTCGATATAGTTTTTTCACCAGAATTGTGATTTTGGGACGGTTGTTACTTGTACATTATGCTTCCGTAACAAATTAGACTTGACCTTGTGTTGGTTCCAAGGCTCAGTGTCCTCTGGTTGTTTGGTTTAACCAAGCTGTTAGACGCAGCTGTTCTCGGCCCGACATGTGAATTACAGCCCAATAATCAGGTATCCTTTGAAGATGTTTATTAGCTTCTTATTAGAACACTGTGAGGGGTCAGGGCAAGTGGTCAGCTACTGTGTAGAATAGCCTGCTTTTTGGAAATGCTGAATTTGTTGTTTTATTGCTGGTTTTACAGGAAAATATATTTTGTGCCAAAGTGTAAGTCTTGGATATTGCTTTAACTACTGTATATGATGCAGTGTCGTGTACTGTATATCTATAGCCAAAAATATAATGTGTATATAATTTCATTCCTTGTGGTTTGTCATGTATGGTAAAATCTTACTCGAATGGAATGACTGGTTCTGCATACTTCCGTTGCATCCATTTGTTGATGATTTTATTAATGCTAGAGAACTTTTTTTAAATAGTCAAAATGTTTTGTAATTATTTTTCATGTTTATTGACAATGCAAACCTGCATTAGCAGGATGATCAAATATTAGCTGGGCTGGAACTTTCCAGACGAGCCTAATTTTCCACTGTCTTCTTTCTGAGTGCGAGATGTTCGTTATTTTTTGTATTCTACTCGGAATAACAAGGTACAGTAATGTAAGTTGGGTATTTAAGCAATTTATGCTAAGATCTCTGATTTCCATGTACAGTACAGTATTGTAGTTCATCATATTAAATTAGTCTAATTTGCTTTGTACTGTACCTTCCATTTTGTGCTGCTACTGCAGTTAAGGCATCAGTATGGCCACTACCCTACTGAAGGCAACCTACCTTGTGGTGGTTCCTAGGATCAATGTGCCCATGGCCCAGTCTCTGACCAGGCTTCCTGGGCTTCATATGATGGACAGTTTTTCATAGACTAAAACTTTTCCATTGGTCATAGAATTAATTAAACTTGATGGCTGTGATAAGATGAATGTTATTGATGGCCGTCACTGGGTGGTTGGTAATTGTGTAAATGAGGAGTTCCTTGACTGCTTCGCATTTATCAGTAATACTATACTGTACTAAACAAAATCCCATTTTGATAAAATAGAATAGTTTCAGTGCCCCCTAGTACACTCCAGTTGAAATTTTATATCCTATCATCTTAAATCTGTCTATACTATTTGTAATTAGAATCTTTTAAATGTTCATTTATGTTGTACATTGATACAGGGAGTAATTACTGTGTATCAATGCAGAATACAAACGAGGAAAAAATTGCCTTAATAATTTTGCACTAATTTTAGACTTTTCCCACATACCAAGGTTTTCTATAAGACTGATAGTTTGTTGAGAATGCAGTTTATGAGTCTACATGCAGTATTTTCAGTGTAATTACTAAGGAAGTACTGTAGGATAGCATTGTCATATTACTTGAGAGAAGGAGTATGTTGGCTACAATACCTCACCACACTATCAGAGTACAGTATTAACATGGTTTAGTATTTGGGACCGGGGCATACCAAGATGTTATACAGATTTCTTTGTATAAATGCTCAAAAAATGTTTTAATATATACATTTAGAGTGAGAAATAAAAAAAGTAAGAAAAATAATGTTTTATTGCAAACCAATTTTTGTATTGAAAGGTACAGTATGTATACAAATATATGGACATGAGCTAATTAACAAATCTGTGCTGTTGTTACAAGAGAAGGTCTGGGTCGTATCCCTAAAAATTACCATCCTACCCGGTTTCGAAACCTGGGAATTAGGATCCCTTATTGAGAGTGGAGAATGTAGTCACTGTGCTATAGGACCCTTCCATATTATTTGTTCTGGTATTAGCATCCTTATTAAGTTAAGGATCTTGATTATTGTTCTATGACGGTGCTGAATAGTCTTCCCAGGCTCGGTAATTGAAAGCCGAGAGCTGCGCACTCTAAGGGTTAATGAACAGACCGTGCTCTCTTTAGCTACTAAACGAATTTTCCTATTCTACTTATTATTTAACTACTTATTTCCTATTCCTTCCCTCGATCCTCCGCCTCCCTGTCTGTCTGCTCAACTGCATTATCAACCCACAAATTCAACAGCTTTCAAGTTTTTGTTTATATATAATTATAACTACTGTCACATTCTGTTAAAAAATCATGGCCAGGATTCAACAAGCATTTATGCATCTATTATAAACAGCCTTCGGAGCTCAAACTGTTTAATAAATGTAAACAAAGCTGCCGAAGATTGAGAATTTTTTTTTTTTTTTTTACCTGAGGTCCACTAACCCGAGTGGCCTCGACGAGGACAAGAAACAGGTGGCTTGTTGAAGGTCCCTCATTGCCTTGATCTTTTCCAGGTAGATTCTGAAACAACACAGTTTTGACATTTACAGCTTTGGCGGGTAGGCAGTTCCATGGGTTACTCTCGACTCAACCGTACGGTGGGCCCTCAACCGTTCCAATCGGGAACGGTTGAGGGCCACAAGGTTAACACCACAGCAAACCAGACATGACAGGGCGGATCTCATTGAAAATACTGAACAATTTTGGAGGATGCCAATCCGGACTAATTCTTCAAAAGGTCAGATGTAACAAACAAGGCGCAACAGTTTGAGGTCAACAAGCCTTAATGTAGCATCTCCTGTTCTGTCGTACATTAAGGCTTGTTGACCTCAAACTGTTGCTACTTGTTTGTTACATCTGACCTTTTGAAGAATTAGTCCGGATTGGCATCCTCCAAATTGTTCAGTATTATAAAAGTTTCAGTGAGATCAACCCTGTGATGCCTGGTGTGCAGTATCAGCCCTGTGGCCCTCAACCGTTCCTGATACGAGAGTTAACTTAGCTCTGGAATTACTTTTGTTGCCCGGTGTTGCACCTTCTCCAGAGCAGCTGTGTTGTGAGATATTTCTATTTCTATTGACTAGTTACTGAAGTCAGAAAGAACTGCACAAGCCAACACGTTACGTGCCAGATGTGAGATTATACTTTAAAACTGAAAATATAAGGCGAGAGCAGCCGTCGGAGTCCAACTCCTTGAACCTCCTATCCACTAGTAGGTCGTTTAGCTCCTTAATTGCTTAGGGCAATGTTAGGGGTAACTATTGGGATCTCTCGCCAAATTTGTTTTGGTGTGTGTGGCTATGAATCAGGTTCGAATCCAGAAGCAAGTCACTACACTACACACAGAAATCATAATTGCGTGATGCATCAAATGAACAAATCCACAAGGGCCGTGACGAGGATTCGAACCTGCGTCCGAGAGCATTCCAGACAATGCCTTATTTGTTCTAATAAGTTGTTCAGAAGCAAGTCTTCATTAAATGCAAGAAATAGTCTAGTTTATAGCAGCATTAAGTTAGAGCAATAGTATTGCAAGGTGGTAAACAAAGACACTTGGCAACAAATAAACATTAATTAACAAACTTAAATTAAAAGCAAAGCACAACAAATTTAACGTTACGTTAATTATCCTAAGTGACACTATGATAGCTAATCAACTTGAAGTATGTTTATTGAGACAAGAAAGAAATACATCTCAAAGGGATAGAGTGGCTTAGGCTATTTCTACCCCGCTAAATAACTAATCAAAGCCAGTATAGTTGAACTCCTGTCCTTACTGCTCTCGGCTGGTCACACTGGTGCTAACTGAACAACGGCTGCTCACTTGGCCTCAAGATGAAAATCAGAATAATTTAAGTCAAACAATATAACCAAACCAAACGGCACAAGACTAGTCACTGAGAGAGATGTATACGCCGAGATGTATAAACATCTCAGTAATGTTTATACGCGTCTCTATGGACGACAATCATAACAATAACTACCTTTCATCACAAACAAGAACAATTGATTACAAACAATCTAATCAAAATAATAAAATAATTACGCTAATTACTGTCAAGACAGTCAATCAAAGGTAATTTACAATCTGTCACTACAAACAGATTATCAACCAAATGATAATTCACACTAATTACTCTGCCACAAAGACGATTAAACAATCAGTGAGTAATTACATTAATTACTGCCACACGGACAACTAATTAATCAAGACGAATAACATTAACTAAAGTATGTTGACCAGACCACACACTAGAAAGTGAAGGGACGACGACGTTTCGGTCCGTCCTGGACCATTCTCACAATCGACTTGAGAATGGTCCAGGACGGACCGAAACGTCGTCGTCCCTTCAACTTCTAGTGTGTGGTCTGGTCAACATACTTCAGCCACGTTATTGTGACTCATCGCCTGCAACATTAACTAAACACTATCACTTAAGACAGCTTGCCAAATAAGAAATTAGTCACTACGGCACTAATTACGTTAAATATGTAGGGAGTAGATTATGGCAATAATATACTCGCTTCAAACTCATTAGCTTCATGAGAGTAGCACAACTCTCATTAGCACTAATGACGAGGCTCTAATCTTTTCCTTAATTACAGTTAACGTTGTTGTTGTTGTTGTTATAGATTCAGCTACTCGGAACAAGTTCCAAGTAGCACGGGCTATGGTGAGCCCGTAGTGGACTTACCTGGCACAGGAGCGGGGCAAGTAGTACGGGCTATGGTGAGCCCGTAGTGAACTTACCTGGCACAGGAGCGGGGCAAGTAGCACGGGCTATGGTGAGCCCGTAGTGGACTTACCTGGCACAGGAGCGGGGCAAGTAGCACGGGCTATGGTGAGCCCGTAGTGGACTTACCTGGCACAGGAGCAGGGCAATTAGCACGGGCTATGGTGAGCCCGTAGTGGACTTACCTGGCACAGGAGCGGGGCAAGTAGCACGGACTATGGTGAGCCCGTAGTGAACTTACCTGGCACAGGAGCGGGGCAAGTAGCACGGGCTATGGTGAACCCGTAGTGGACTTACCTGGCACAGGAGCGGGACAAGTAGCACGGGCTATGGTGAGCCCGTAGTGGACTTACCTGGCACAGGAGCGGGGCAAGTAGCACGGGCTATGGTGAGCCCGTAACTTACCTGGCACAGGAGCGGGGCAAGTAGCACGGGCTATGGTGAGCCCGTAACTTACCTGGCACAGGAGCGGGGCAAGTAGCACGGGCTATGGTGAGCCCGTAACTTACCTGGCACAGGAGCGGGGCAAGTAGCACGGGCTATGGTGAGCCCGTAACTTACCTGGCACAGGAGCGGGGCAAGTAGCACGGGCTATGGTGAGCCCGTAGTGGACTTACCTGGCACAGGAGCGGGGCAAGTAGCACGGGCTATGGTGAGCCCGTAGTGGACTTACCTGGCACAAGAACGGTGTCGTACAGTTAACATTCCTTGCAACCTTTAGAGAAGGAGGAGGTAAGGTCTGATTATATTGAGCAATGGAGAAGTGAGTAATTATCATACGGGTTATTCATGCCCGTGCCACCTCTTGGGTAGCTTAATCTTCATCAATCAATCAATCGAGTACTGTTTACGGGCTCACCATAGCCCGTGCTACTTGGAACTTGTTCCGAGTAGCTGAATCTATAACAACAACTCTATAAATGGATAGTTCACCCCTTGGAGTTAACTAATGTAATACCAATAGTTTCGCCAGAGCGACGGTTTCACGTCATGCAGGTCGGCGTTCAATCCCCGACCGTCCACAAGTGGTTGGGCACCATTCCTTCCCTCCGTCCCATCCCTAATCCTGATCCCTTCCCAGTGCTATATAGTCGTAATGGCTTGCCACTTTCCCCTGATTATACTATTAATATTGCATGATAGTATGATGATAGATAAAATTACTGGTGACGATATCACTTTACCTCAGATGTACAAGATTGTGTTAAGTGTTGTATCATATAATTTATGTATGTATAATACCACACTTTCTTGCCCGAAACGCTATGCGTACTAGTGGCTTTAGGTATTGTATGTACTAGCTCTATCTATAAATCCAACATTATGTTTGTAAATCAACTATGAAACTACTTTCAACTATGAAATCAACCACTTTCCTGAAAAAAAAGACCTTACAACGTCACACAATGAGGTGACGTAGATATGATAGAGCCCAGTAGGCTCAGGAACCTGTACACCTGTTAACTGACGGTTGAGAGGCGGGACCAAAGAGCCAGAGCTCAACCTCCGTCAGCACAACTAGGTGAGTACACCGCCCCACGCGGTACACCAACTATGAATGTACTTTAGTTTACACTTGTTACCATGACAACCAGCGGGCTACTGTCCTTCTCAATACTTTGTTCCTATTTAATTACCATATTTAGATATAATTATACGCATCAGTAGCACTTCTATATCTTTAATTATTATATAGACTTTATAAGGATACGATTGTTTTTTGGTATATGTATATGTATATATGGATGTGGGGGAAGAATATATAGAGGAGGAAGCAACAGTTGGCAAGTATGGAGGGAGGCGGGTCAGTCTGGCCGTGGACGCCGCGCCGTACAGACGGGCAGGTGAGCGCTCCCGCTCTCTCTCTCTCTCTCTCTCTGGCCACGACTCGCTGCGTAACTTTGGAAAGTTGGCCTCAAGTGTCTGAAAAGTTGCAAGGGGAAAGTTTTCTGGCCCGCGAAGATTTGACTTTTATTATAATAGAGAACTTGGGCACTTTAGAGTAACTTTAGTTCATCATGGAACAGTAATTTGTAACATTTATGTTTGGTCACGTGGCGGAGAATGTTGAATGTTGTTGTTATAGTGGAGAGATGTTGTTGAAGTGTTGTAGAGCCGTTGTTAATGTTACTAGTTGTGACACGTCTTGTTAGTGAGGAGTGGTAGATGACCCCCACACCAGGCGACTGGTGACAGGTAATGACAGGCTGCTCCAGCACTTGTAACATGACACACCTGCCTCTAGTACACCTTCCATACCTGGCTGTGACACACCTGCCTCTGCTGCACCTTCCATACCTGGCTGTGACACACCTGCCTCTGCTGCACCTCCCATACCTGGCTGTGACACACCTGCCTCTGCTGCACCTTCCATACCTGGCTGTGACACACCTGCCTCTGCTGCACCTCCCATACCTGGCTGTGACACACCTGCCTCTGCTGCACCTCCCATACCTGGCTGTGACACACCTGCCTCTAGTACACCTCCCATACCTAGCTGTGACACACCTGCCTCTGCTGCACCTCCCATACCTGGCTGTGACACACCTGCCTCTGCTGCACCTCTCGTACCTGGCTGTGACACACCTGCCTCTGCTGCACCTCCCATACCTGGCTGTGACACACCTGCCTCTGCTGCACCTCCCATACCTGGCTGTGACACACCTGCCTCTGCTGCACCTCCCATACCTGGCTGTGACACACCTGCCTCTACTGCACCTTCCATACCTGGCTGTGATACATCTTCCATACCTGGCTGTGACACACCTGCCTTCCTGCCTCTACTGCACCTTCCATACCTGGCTGTGATACACCTTCCATACCTGGCTGTGACACACCTGCCTCTGGTACACTTCCCATACCTGGCTGTGACACACCTGCCTCTAGTACACCTCCCATACCTGGCTGTGACACACCTGCCTCTAGTACACTTCCCATACTTGGCTGTGACACACCTCCCATACCTGGCTGTGACACACCTGACTAGTACACCTGCCATACCTGGCTGTGACACCTGCCTCTACTACACCTGTCCATGAAGCGACTGTCACCACACCTGTGATGTCTCTGCCTGACATATCTGAACTCGGTTTTCCACAGGTGTTTATCTTGAGATGATTTCGGGGCTTATCGTCCCCGCGGCCCGGTCCTCGACCAGGCCTCCTAATGTACTGTATATACAATATTTCAGTTGTTGACACATGTTGACACACGTGGCTCGGGTACACAGGTATGACACAGGTATATTACATCTGGTTCTCGGTTCTCATAACGTCTTGACACTTGTTTGAGCACGAGGGGTCAATAATTGGTCTTGGTACTGCTGGGTCAATAATTGGTCTTGGCACTACTGGTCAGTAATTGGTCTTGGCACTACTGGTCAATAATTTGTCTTGGCACTACTGGTCAGTAATTGGTCTTGGCACTACTGGTCAATAATTGGTCTTGGCACTACTGGTCAGTAATTGGTCTTGGCACTACTGGTCAATAATTGGTCTTGGCACTACTGGTCAATAATTGGTCTTGGCACTACTAGTCAGTAATTGGTCTTGGCACTACTGGTCAATAATTGGTCTTGGCACTACTGGTCAATAATTGGTCTTGGCACTACTGGTCAATAATTGGTCTTGGCACTACTGGTCAATAATGGGTCTTGGCACTACTGGTCAGTAATTGGTCTTGGTACTGCTGGTCAGTAATTGGTCTTGGTACTGCTGGGTCAATAATTGGTCTTGGTACTGCTGGGTCAATAATTGGTCTTGGTACTACTGGTCAATAATTGGGGGCCAGAGGTAGATGTCATTTTCAGAAATATGTTTATGGTGATAAATAGCTACTGACTGGGCATGTGTTAGGGGCCTCTCTTAGCCAGTAACATATGTACTTTCACTTACATATGTACAATTTCTCTACACATTCTATAGAGCCTCGGGGCCTCTTACCAGAACCAACCCCAAGTGAGGGTTAAGGCATTGAGGACTGAGCAGTAATAGGCAAGACAGAGGGTAGAGGGGGAGTGTAGTCAACACTAACTAGTACACCAAGTGTACTACAAACTAATGGAAAACTATATACACCTACCACATATACAGCACACATAACACTGTGTGGGTCACTCTCACACAGGACACTACAAGACACTTTGAGAGGTATGAAAGCAGGCGGCGGGCTGTCCGCCTTCTGTGAGGCTTTCCTCTGAGGTACTCAGGCCGGCGAGTCCACTTTTCTCAGTAATTCACGAAGAAGAAGAAACTATCAGGGGGAAAGCGCCAAGTCATTACGACTATATATCACTGGGAAGGGGTCAGGATAAGGATTTGGGATGGGACGGGGGGGAAGGAATGGTGCCCAACCACTTGTGGACGGTCGGGGATTGAACGCCGACCTGCATGAGGCGAGACCGTCCCCCACAGTATGATCAGTAAACACTCTGTGAACCCCCAGCAACACGCTGGCCGGCGTCCTCTAAAGCCTTCATCTCTAACAAGTCTTACATTAGAGGACGGATGGATGCTAGTTCCATCTACTACCACAACTGGGCTACCCCGGGACACGTCGTTCCGGCCATCAATTGCTGGCTGGGTAATTCACAGTCTCCAACGATCATTCCCCCTACTTGTTCCCACGGAAACACGCCATGTGTTCAAGATGGCCCTTACTGGCCACTCCCAACTTCTACCTTGAGGTTACCTTGAGATGACTTCGAGGCTTAGCGTCCTCACGGCCCGGTCCTCCATCAGTCCTCCTCGTTGCTGGACTGGTCAACTAGGCTGTTGGACGCGGCTGCTCGCAGCCTGAAGTATGAGTCACAGCCTGGTTGATCTTGTAAGGAACAACTATGGTACACTAAGAAGGTAACTACACAAGTGTCAGATCACAGCCGTCAACCCGGGCACAGAGAATGGGGTCAGGTGCAGGCAACAGATGGCGCCACACACACACACACACACACACACACACACACACACACACACACACACACACACACACACACACACACACACCCAGAGTTTCCCCCTGGTGAAAGGGGGAACTCTGACACCCGAGTTTCCAAGAAGAGTCTCAAGGTTTGGTACACCAATGCTGATGGGGTAGCCAATAAAGCAGAAGAGATAAAAGAAAGAGTTAGTGAGGCAGACCCAGACATAGTGGCAATAGTGGAAACTAAAATAAATGGCATGATCTCGGATGCAATCTTTCCAGAGGGGTACCAGGTGATAAGAAAAGAAAGGACACAGAGACAGGGAGGTGGAGTGGCACTACTAATAAAGCGGAAATGGAAGTTTGATGAGCTGGAAAATCCGGGTACCAATGAAAGCACAAGCTTCATACATGGAACCCTGACAGTGGATGGGAAGAAGATTGTAATCTTGATACTCTACAATCCCCCACCAAACAGTAGAAGGCCCAGGCAGGAGTACGAGGACAGCAACAAGACATGTATGGATGAACTGCAGAGGGCAGCAACTTTAGCGCATAGAATGAGAGCGAAGCTGCTGGTCATGGGGGACCTAAATCACGGAGAGATAGATTGGGAAACGAGGAATCCCCATGGCGGGGAGGAGACCTGGGGAGCGAAGCTGGTAGACGTTATTGACAGGAATTTCCTAACACAGCATGTGAAAGAAGATACTAGGGAAAGAGGAGGGGATACGCCCAGCCTATTAGATCTCATTATCACTCAGAATGTAGAAGACATCGAGCAGTTGGAACATGAAATACCACTAGGAGCTAGTGACCATTGTGTCCTAGCCTTTGACTACATGATGGAGCTTAAAATTGTGACCAAAGGACAAGAGGTCCGGGAAAGGAGACTTGATTACAGAAAAGGGGACTACAGAGGGATAAGGGACTACCTGGGAGAAGTGCAGTGGGAGGAAGAACTTAGAGGAAAAACAGTGCAAGGTATGATGACCCAAGTCATATTGAAATGCAAGGAGGCTGAAGATAGATTTATTCCAACAATAAAGAAAAAAAGCAGGAGGGAATATAATAACCCATGGTTTAATAGACAGTGTCAGGAAGCAAAGGTGAGAAGCAGGAGGGAGTGGAGGAAGTACAGAAGACAAAGGACAGAGGACAACAGGATTAGATGTAACAGAGCTAGGAATGATTACATTAACATAAGACGAGTGTCGGAAAGAAATTATGAGAACGATATTGCAGTCAAAGCGAAAAAGCAACCAAAATTACTACATAGCCATATAAGAAGGAAGATGTCGGTAAATGACCAAGTGACAAGACTGAGGAAAACAGAAGGGGCATATACAGAAAGCGACAAGGAAATCTGCGAGGTACTGAATGCAAAATTCCATGGAGTGTTCACTACCGAGCCTGAGCAGCTCCCATTGTTAGAAGAGATTACCCAAGATGAAAGACTATCAGATATAGAGGTGACAGCAGAGGATGTAATGAAACAGTTGACAACACTGGATGCAAATAAAGCTGTTGGACCAGACAAAGTATCACCGTGGATACTTAAAGAGGCAGCGCAGGCTCTCAGCGTGCCTCTGGCAATGATCTTCAATGAGTCACTTATGTCGGGAGAATTGCCCAGTTGCTGGAAGGAGGCAAATGTCGTACCGATTTTCAAAAAGGGGGATAGGGAGGAGGCACTTAACTACAGACCCGTATCACTGACAAGCATCCCCTGCAAAATACTTGAAAGAATAATTAGGCTAAGACTTGTTGAGCACCTGGAGAGCATTGGGTTTGTAAACAAGCACCAACATGGGTTCTGGACAGGGAAATCATGCCTAACAAACCTTTTAGAATTCTATGATAAAGTAACAAGGATAAGGCAGGACAGAGAAGGCTGGGCAGACTGCATATTTCTTGACTGCCA